CCTTGTCTGAATACCAAGCTTCCAAGAATTCCCTTGCATTTTTGGATTTAGCTTGGTCTAATTCTGTACCCAGAAACTGCTTCTGTCAGCTTTTACTGGAATAATATGTGAATAATTATGCAGAAACAGCTGACTCTGTTTAGTCATGGATGGCTGGGAAAAACCAGATCACATTGCTCCAGATCTCCTCCCCAATACCAGTTAGTAGAAAGACACTATAAGGATATTCAGAATAAACAGACAAGAAGTGTATAGTCACAAGATCAAATTTGACATCTAAGAACTGCTTTTTTTTCCAGGTTAGACTGTAATATGGGGACAGTTTAGGAGTCACAGCTTGGGATGGAAGAACTAAAATTCCCCAGCACTGGGGACTCCTTAAATCAGCTATCCAGCATGGCAGTTAGGCTTGAAAAAGTTTCCACTGATACCACTAGAAGGCTTTTTTCAGCCCTTGTTGCTGAATGGAGGGGAAGGGAGTGATGTTCTTGTTAATTGTTGGAATGCACATATTTGAAGGATTGAAGGATATAGTTCATATATTGAAAACAGATGTGCATATATGAGTTTTGTGGCATATCCCACCCATTTTATTACAGGGGTTTTCAGGCATAGAATCCCCAAAAGATCACCAACAGGGTTCTACTTCTAGTTTATTCAAAATTATAAGCATAGAGAGGTTATGCTTTGAATATGTAACATTCTGGAGAAAAGACACATTAATTTTATATTATTGCTAGATATTCTCTTTGATGATCTGAAAACACAAGAAGCAATTTATTATACAGGATAAAGTTTTGGATTGCAACCAGGGGCACTGAGGCTCAAGTTCCTACTCAAGCATGGAACTCACTTTGAACCAATCACTGTCTCTCAGTCTAATCTACCTCACAAATTCTTAAAGGATAAAATAAACGGAGATCTTCATGGACATCATTTGAAACTCCCAAATTTAAGATGGAATATAGATCTAATAATGAATAAGATGCTTCCTATGATAATTATTTGTTGAAAAGCTGTGAATTATACGGGGACACAATCTGAGATTAACAACTTTAAAAGAGTCCTTTTATCATACGTTGGAAGAGTGAACTTTTAAAGTCACCGATGCAACTTTCATTCTCAGATGTGAAAATCGGGTCCACTCTAACATGCCTATGAGCCAAAGTGGATGGAATGATAAATACGATGGTGGCAAAGAAAAATACTTCCTGCCCATTCACATTATATGTCATTTTGCTTTTTTTTACTTTTAAAATTAATTTTAGTTTTTGTATTTATTATTTTAAGCACTGATTTAATTGTGATGGTTTTATTTAAGACTATTTTTATTCTCTTATAAACTGTTCTGGGAATGCAGTATTGATAAACATAATAATTTGCTGGCAAAGGATAGAAAATACTGTGGAGCAGAGGCTGGAAGTAGGATTGCACCTAGATGATAAATCTGATACAAATTTACACCTAGATTTGATAAATTCAAATACAAGATTATATACCAAGAGCTGGCTGAACAGTTTCCATCTTTGGCAATATATGCAGTATCATCTCCAGAATCCCTCTTGAGAGGCATATGGGAAAGGTTTGTTCTCCTGAAATGGTGTTCCCAACACCTTCATTATTAATTTGTACAATTAATTTAGCAATCATTGCTGGACTGAGAATGGTATCAAATTAGTAAGGAAAAGGCAGTTGTTCATACAGTACTACAAAAATACCTACATGTATACCTTGTTTGCAAGCTTCATATTTATAATGCATTATTCTTGTGTTTGAGCAATATTTGGTAAACATCATTCCTATTCTTGAAATAGAGGGAACTGGATTGTCTGCACATAGAAAGCTTTCAGAGAAGCTAAATCTGGAGGCTTTTATAGTGTTGTCAAATGTCATCTGAATGACTTATGGCTCCAAGACAATGTGGTACTGAAGATATTAGAGAGGGGCGCCAACAATGATTATACAATGAAGTGACTGCTGATCCCTGTTGACATGACGGGATAGAAACTCACCTAAAAATGCAGTACTGCTTTGACCTCTATTTTCGCAATTGATGCTGTGCAGCATTCAAGAGATAAACTCTCTGTGTAGCCATTAAAAGCTAGGGTTGTTTGTTGAGAACTTTTGATTTCTTGAATTTCAAATTGCAGCTGCTTCCTTTAGCCCCTTATCAATAATTTAAATGACATAATAGAACAGACCAGATGGTGAGAGAAAGTGAACAACTATAATCTGAGATTCTTTAAATATTTATCCCTGGAGAATGCTTCCATACAGAGAAAAAGAATGGTCTTTGGAGTCAAATAGGTTGCCTTGTTTGGACCAAGATGCTCCACTTCAAGAGAAAAACCATCTGCCAGCCTAGGAAGTTTAATTCTCAAGAACAAAAGTAATGTGCAGGACAATCATCTACATGAAGCTGCTGGGTGAGATTATCCATCTCCATGGGGTGAGGTATCAGTATGCTGATGATACCCAGTTATACCTTTCTGCCCCTGGTGACTTAAGCAACGCTGTTGATATTCTGGAGCCTGGAGGCTGTGGGAGCCTGGATAGGGAATAACAGGCTTCAGCTGAACCCTGGCAAGACTGAGTGGCTTTGGGTTTTTGTTTATTTATTAATCAAATTTATGCACCACCCATCTCACTGTATAAGTGACTCTAGGTGGCTTACAAGTAAAAAGAACTATAAAATCTTTACAAAAATATATAAAATTAAAAGCTAAAGAAGTTAGTTTGGGCCCTCCAGCTCAAGGACTGTGTCATCTTTGGTACTGGATGGGGTTATACTGCCTTACACAGACCCAGTATACAACTTGGGGATCCTCCTAGACTCATGACTCCTGCTTGAAAAGCAGGTAGCAGTTGTGGCTAGGAGGGCTTTTGTGTGGCTTCATGTTGTGCACCAGTTGCACCTGTTCCTGGACCAGGAAGCTCTGCTTATAGCCACTCATGCCCTGGTCACCTCCTGAATGGACTACTGTAATGTGGTCTACATGGGGCTGTCCTTGAAGAGCATCTGGAAGCTTCAGCTAGTGCAAAATGCAGTAGTGTGGGCAGTTATGTGTGCCCCTAGAACAGCACAGGTTACACCTTTGCTCCGTGAGCTGCACTGGTTGCCAGTTTGCTTCTGGATCCAATTCAAGGTGCTGCTTTTGACCTTTAAAGCCCTTCATGGCATGGGGCTGGGTTATTTGAGGGACTACTTCCACCCAATTATATCTGCCCATCCCATCAGGTCCAGCAGAAAAGATATTCCACATGGTTAAAAAGAGTATGCCCAAGGACCACCCCAGATCTAGTGGTAGGAATACACAAAATAGGCCAATATAATCTACATTTTAACCAAGACACATACTGGGTTCATATACACTATCCTAAACCATAATGTGGTTTGTTTGATTTTGGCTTAGTGTGTGGTTTGACAATGTGTGGTTTGTAAGACATGGTTCCTTGTTTAACATGTTATGTGAAGTCAGCCAACTACTGTTTACTAAACAATACTTGATTTTGATTTTTCATTTTCATTTTTCTACAATTTCCCCTCTTTAAATTTAATATTAATAGTGAACATATTCTTGCTAATTTTCAACCACTTACAGGTAGATCTATATATACCTGAGGTAAAGCATAACAGCTCTTTTGAAAACAAAGAAAGGGTTTAGCCACTTTATGCATCTGCTCAAGTTAGCTCTAGCTCATAAAAATCATGCCTTTAAAAAAAATGTGTTACTCTGAAAAGGTGCCACTAGACATCTTCTGATTTTTGACTACCATAGACTAATGTGGCTCTCCCACACAATGTCAAAGAATAAAATGAGCATTATGTAATTCTGAAGATAGATAATTGAGCTAATTTGTATTTTTGTTCTTCAAAAACAACTGCTCTTATGTGTCAGCTAAGAGGCAGCTGCTGCTGTAGAAACTTCAACAATTTGCCAAGAATTATTGGCATAAGAATTAAAGTTCAACAGAAAAGGCCACTAAAGAAAAGGGCAGGGAATCATCAGTCGGGATGATGATGATGATGATGATGATGAGCAATCAAGTCATTTCCAACTCCTAGAGACCACATAGATTACTGACTACTATTGACTGAATACAATTCTTTTTGACCGTGTCAAAAGTATCTTTTTGACACAATTTTTCACAAATTCCAGCTACAAAAGGCTACAGCATCATGATATACAACTTATTACATTGGCATACTAAACTAGAAGAGGATGTTGACAAGTGTTATGGTCAAGTTCAATCTGAAATTGACAGAACATGCAAGCAAGATGTGCTGTTTATGGTTGGAGCTGGGAATGCAAAAGTTGGAAATCTATCACATGACCTTTTTTCAAATATGGCCTTGTGATATATACACAAAAAGAAAGAGCTGTTGTTCCAGAATCTTATCTATCATCTCATAACAGCATTTTATCTGCTTAAAAAAAGAGGAATTTAATGGTGAAGCAGTTGCAGTTTGTCCCCTCTGAATGGGCTCCAATCAATAACCTCTCCATTTCAAACTAGTGTGCAATTTCATCAGCCATCTAATTGTCATTTGGCATGTTCACTGTGTTCTTTTGTTCATTTTTCATGTTTGGCAAATGCTTTTGTGTCATATCCTCACACTGTAAACCCAGAGGCAAGTATTGTGAGCTAATCTATATTAGCATGTTTAGTGCCTAGTGTATTTAAGTTGTTTTATTAAGGGAAATTGTACTTATCTCCATTTATTAACTGTAGGACTTTTTCAGTGCATTTAAAATAATACAAGGATTTTTTTTAAAATACCGATTGATTCTATTTCCTTTGAAGGTCACACTTTCTAAAAATTCACATTCACATTCTCAATTGCATATTTCATTTTTTAAAACTGAGTTTCTTCTGAGTCATATTTCAAGTCACCTATACAATTATGCCAGGTAGTGTGTTTCTACTTAATAAGTATATTGCAGGAGACTGGTACCAGTTATAGAAAAAGCAATGCGCTTTCTGCCTTGAGGAAAATAAAAGGAATTGACCATGAGGAAATGGTTTAAAAGATAGGCTCACTTACCTGATAAGGGCAAGGTATGTGATATTCCTTGCACCGTTCTTGAATCCATGTTGTCTCCCACACACTTCGGTAAGCTTGCTCATAGAAATAGCAGCCAATGACAACCAAGAGTGGCACAAGATACAGTACACTGAAGACGCCAATCCGAATCATGAATTTCACCAACTTGTCCTGGTTTTCCTTCTCTAAGGGAATTTCAATACGAACCCGATTTAAAGAAATGATGCCAGCAAGTAGCAAAGAAACTCCAACCACCACATACAGGCAGAGAGGAGCAAGAACAAAGTATCTCAAGGCATCCACATCATAAAGGCCAACAAAACATACGCCACTGATGTTGTCACCTTCTATTTTATTCATAGCTAGGAGAATGATGGTAAGGGTTCCAGGGATGCCCCATGCACTAGCATGGAAGAGGAGGGCCTTCTTCTCAATGGCTTCACTACCCCATTTTGGGACAGCTGCCAAAAACCAAGTGATGGTAAGAATTACCCACCAGACGCTCCCAGCCATGGTAAAGAAATACAGTACCATGAAAAGCATGGTGCATGCTTTATTGTGAGAGCCCTGCGTCACTGTGGAAGCCTTGTATGTGGCAGGGCCAGAGGCATTGCAGGCAACCCGGTCTTCTAGCAAAAAGCCAATGAAGAAAATTAGGGACACCATCATGTAACAAACAGCATAGAAGATTATGGGTCTTTCTGGGTAGCGAAATCTTGTGACATCAATCAGGAAAGTCAAGAAAGTGAACAAGGTAGCAGAAAGGCAGACAATGGAGATCACACCAATGAAGTATCGTGCGAAAGAGAGCTCTTCTTGTCTAAAGTACATATTTGGACAAGGAGGGGAGCAGTCCCGTACCCGCAGGAATGTGTAGCCCAGATCAGGGTCTATTTTCAGTTCTCGAGGGCACCAAAAACCATAGTCTCTTTGCACTTCCACTGGTGCTTTTTCTGTTGGTTCCCCAACTACATTGAGGTCAACAAGACGAGGGTAAGGCTCATCACAGTCTGGGAACCTAGAATAGCAAGACCAAAGGACCTGTAATAATTTTTTAGATATAAGCATTGTTTTGCCTGTTCTGGTACTTTAAAAAAGACTTGGTTTGGAGGAATAGTCAAGTGTCAAAAAGTGATAAGAAAAAAATCAAATTAAATCATAGGATTCTATGTACAGAAATCAAACTGTTATACAGGTTGTCCTCAACTTATGATGGCAATGCCTGCAGTCCTGGTTGCTGTTGTTAACTGAATCCCACGGTTGTTGGGTGAGGCAACTTCCTGCCAGCTTCCCACAACCAGTCAGTGGGGAAGCTGGCAGGAAGTTGCAAGTCCCAGGCCAGCAGGCAGGAAGATGGCTGCTGCTGGGATGGGGAGGGAATGAGGTGGTGTGGGGGAGAGTCAGGGAGGGTGCATGGGGTTGTGTGAGAGGCACTGCATGGGTTGGGGAGGGTGCGCGAGAGGTGCCATGTGGGTTGGGGAGGATGCACAAGTGGTTGGTGTGGCACGAGCCCAGAGTTTCCCCATTGACTTTCTGGAGAAGCTGATAGGGAACGTTACAAATGGCAATCACGTGATTGCGGGGTATTGGCAACCGGTCGTAAGTGTGAATCAGTTGCCAAACGCCCAGATCCCAATCACGTGACCATGGGGGTGCTGGGACAGCCATAACTCCAAGTATTAGTCGTAACCACCATTCATTCAGCACTGTTGTAATTTCAAATGGTTGCTGAACAAATGGTCATATGTCAAGGACTACCTGTACAAATTCTAGTCTAATAATTTCATATATCCAACTATCAGCACCAGGTTCATCAATTATGCTTTTCAGAGGGTTGCGCGTGAAGATTTGTCTGATTATTTCATGTTAAAATATGAGATTTAGTCAACTGCATCTTTTGTGTAAGAAATCTAATTTTTGCAGAAAACCTAGAAAGACAAACAAGCAAATGTCTTAAAAACATTTGAATGAATGTTCAATTTGAATGAAAAACAATATATTGTGTTGCTTTGTCTGCTTGATCAAACAATGTATATTTTTGACCAAGTAAGCCTTTGGGGTTGGCCATGTCCACTGTGCAGTTGTCCCTGTCTTCTGGGAAACAGTCAATTTTAGTGTACAAAAGCTTCAAAAAGAAATCTGTAATCTCTTGTCTTACACAATTTACATCATAGGGTCCTTTAGCCAAAAGACATTGTTAAAAGCCAGCAAAATATATAAAATAATAAATCTGGAATACTAACATCGCATTGTTTATCCAATGATATCTAGCCAAGATATACTTTTCCTGACTAAGCATACAAAATAACACAGGAAGATGGATTCCTGTACATTTCTTCTTGCATTTTTCATTCAGAATCTATTGCATTCTTTTTCAGTTTTGTCTTAGAACTTATACAACATAACTTTCTACTCTACTAAATATTCTACAGCATATTTTTTCAGACTCTAATTCTGGAATTTAACAACTGGACTACAGTAGTCTGTAAGCATGGTTGAAAGGATTTAGATTTCCCTTGAAAAGAGAATTGTATTGTGGAAGTTATGTTTTTTTCTTCTTCACTGAAATAAAGAGGTGACATAATTTGTTTCAAGCTTATACCTAACTCCTATCTGTCACTTACCAAAGCCAGAAGAGGCTTCTATGCAAGTGATACACCTGTGCAGAAGTTGTTTTCAACTTGTTTCAACTTTGGCAAAGGCACGCTAGCAATGTCCTCCCAGAGCTTGTGGTGAGCCCTCAGAAGAAATTGTGCTTAGAAGGGGCTGTAAAACATGGCAAAGCCATGTTTCCTAAGTCCATGATTCTTGATTCAAAACAAATGTAAACTCTGAGTAAGAAAATTATATATTTGAATATTTATAATGAGAGCAGGGAGCTCAGAGTTGGTTTCACCCCCAAGAAAATATCACAATCACAAGAAAATATGGGAGGGGTACAGCATGTAGTCTGAAAATAAATCTTGAAAAACATTACAAATGTAGGTGGTAATTTTAATAAATACAAATCCTGAGGATTCACTCACCTGTTGCATTCCATGTCTTCAGGCCAAGACACACCAAACATCTCCATGAGTTTTGAACATTCACTATATGCTCTTTGACAAATTCTGCGACATGGGAGGGTGACTCTACCATATTCCATGCAAACGGGAGCATAGAGAGCACACAGGAATGGCCGAAAGTCTCGGGAGCAGTCAAGGTTTACCATAGGATGAAATGGCTATATAAAGAAAGCAAAAGTAAGTAACTCTGGGCCAATATTTAAACAGCCAAATTCTATGTTAAGTACAAACCATCACTGTACACATCAAAATCAAAGATTTCAGAATCTTTGCACAGCGTTGAGAAAATAAGTAAAATAATATGTATGTCAGACAAAAAACAGCAGAGAAATCCTACCTAAAAATTTGTTCAATAACATTAACTCCTTTTACTGTGCTATTTCTGACTAATGTAACTCTATGTAACTTGTGACATCAAGGTGACTGTTGCCCATCTGCCAAAAGCATGATACACCCTCTCCCAATTTGTAATTTTAGGTATATAGTAAGACCTATAAATTAATCAATTTCATGATGCCTAATATATATTGCTGGTGGTCTGCATTTTTAATACATATGTAATACAATATGATTTCATGAGAGATATTGATAAAGCATACCCACTAGACAAGAAAACACTATGCCCTCAGCCACAAATCTCCTTTTGTGTGTATGTGTATGTGTATGTGTATGTATTCATATTCATATATTCAAGCTGCAACTTAACTTCTTACATTTTAGCAGTACTTGATTCCTAGGCGAAAGTTTACATTCCCAACCATTCAATGCTTTATATTTGGTCAAAACTAACTCATACGTTACTCTAGGTAGAAAATAATTTCAACATAAGAACGAAAGATTCTATCTTTCATTTCCAGTATAATGTTTGTAGTAAACCAGAATTCACTTTCAGGTAAAGAATTAAATAGTCAAATATTAAATGTTTAGGTAGAGTATTCAGCCAAGTATCATATTTTTAGGTACAGAACTTAGGTTAAAACAGTCACAGAAAAGGGGTGGGGGGAAAGTAAAAAAGAAATCAAGGCAATAATGTTCAGTTGAAGTAAGTATAAATAAGTAGTATTGTGTAATGAACTCAAACCATTATGCATTTAAGTCAAATCATTGTGTATTTAACTCAAATTTAGCCACAATAGGCTCTGTTCTTAATTATGGGTCGTCCGTAAACCAGGCGTTCTTAACCCGGGGACTACCTATATTGTACTGATAATACTGGGTTAAAAGCCAGGAAAATCTTGATTGAAATGACTAACAAACAACTCACTGGGTGGCCTTGAGAAAATCATTACCTCTTTGCTCATTCCTTTTCAGAATTTTTGAGAGGATGTGATAACATGTATGGCACTTAGAATTACTTGGAAGAAGGGTGCACATCAAATGTGAGGCAATATCTCAATCCCATATCCCAATATTATACAGTACACTGTCTAGACATAAGAAGTACTGGAAGACAAGCTGTCAGCAGTCCCAATGACTGCTGATACTCCCAGTGAATGCATATTATTATTAGAGGATGCAAATTCTGAATTAGCAGCTACCTATATGCAGAAAGTCATTTTATCAGTCTCTTTCCCTTTCAGTACTTTAAATGCAGGGGATAGGAGAAGGATTAAATCAATGAACAGATTTTAACTTGGAGTCAATGGCAATATATTGTGAACTAAAATCTTAAAAATTGTTATAGTACAGAATCCTTATAGAAGCAGCATGGGTCCACAAAATCTTTAAGTTTCGTGGGGGGAGAGGATAAACATTATTGAGAAAGGGAGAGAAAGAGAAGGAATGTTTTAATAACAACTTTTTAGCTTGACATTTTTCAAAAAAAATCATGCAAGGAGAAGTGTGTGTATGTATGTGTGTGTGTGTGTGTGTGTG